CCAAACACGACCATTTTTTAACGCTGCGTCTCGTCGACATCGCGCATCTCTGTGCGCATGAGCCCCGTCAGCCCCACCCTTTTGCTCCTACTTCTTCTGGCATGCCATGGGACCTTCGCCTTTCACTTCTACTCCCCAGAGGGCATCAAATTGGCCCGTAAAATCCTTCTTGATGTTTTGCCCAATTTCGAGCCGTATCACTACCAAATGGACGAAATTTGCAAGGTTCTTGCGGGCGTCAACCTCGTAGCATCCACGCCGAGGCAGAAGGGGTGGGAGAGGTGTTTTCGTCTTCGCCGTGCTTCCGTTTGCGCGGAGAGTAGCTGAAGGGGGCAGCAGGGGTCCGAATTGTGCCAAATTGAATAGGAGCTGAATAGAAGTGGATTGGGTCCAGGTTGGGGTCAGGAAACGCCACCCCGACCGATAATTGCGGTGGATTTTGCAGTGGCGGGGTGCGGTTTGCAGCGGAAGAAAGAGGCCGATTTCTGGCAGCAGGTGTGTCAGGTACCTTCCAGTTGAGATTCCACAAGTTCTCGGCCATGTCGTGGTGTCTAGCGCGCTGTGTCGACGTGCCGCAGATGAGGGACTCGACGCGTCGCAATGGGCTGTCAAGAGAGATCGTGGGAACGTCCACTTTGGGTCGACGGTCACCTAATCCGGAAGGGCCACCTACGGCTTTCATAGCGCGAGTAAAATCAGACCATATATCAGGTCTTTTTCGTCTTTTTTTATTTTATTTTAGAAAAACGAAATCTGATCATTTGGTCTGACAGACTCTGACTAGGGAGACTAGTGCTGTTCGCTGGTTTAAAAAATTACAGTTACTGCAAATACTTCCCTGTTCACATAATGGATGATTTGACTGACTTGAATTGGAGCTATATGGTCTCTGGCGAACTTGGTGGGCGAAATGGGTGATTTGCCAGTAGTTTGACAGCTTTTGGCGGTGGCATCAACATGAACAAACGGACATTTGATCCCCGCCACTTGCCAGTCACCATTCTCATAATATTTTGGGGCTGTCAAGGGTCAGTATTCAAAAATTACATCGGACCGGACATGCGATGTTGACTATGGCAAGTCGATGTCCCGACATTCGCCGATTGAAGGAAAGCTGAAATGGCTGCGGAGATCGGTCCGTAGGCAGTCGGTCCGTCGCTTAGAGGGGGGGGGAGGGGGTACAGCCACCACTTAGATTTCGGAGGTTGATTTCAAGAGCTTTCGGCCCGCCCACCTCTTGGATGCACGGCCTGATTCCTCCTCCCACACGACCATCTCCTACCCCTCTCAAAGATTCAACATGGCAACGCATGGACCGCAACCGTTACATGCGTGAAACAAGATTCTTTGTTCTTTTCGCAACTACGCTGATCGAGATCACACCTCAGACTCGGGTAATTCTCTATTTCCCATCGTCAAGTGTTCATCACAACGTTGTATCCTTATATGTAATTGATTTTCACCTTTCACCTCCATTTGCCGGAGCGAAACGGCGGCCCATCTTGTCTTGTGAATTGGCCCAGACGTTGTTGAGTTATGTGAAAGATTGGCCGCACCTTCAATCACAATATTCACCCTCTGTCCTGGACTCCTTCTTCCACGGTCCACCAGGATCCAGCTAGATATCCTAAATTTAATGCATTGGAGACGCGAGATTCAGAATCATTAAATTCCATCATAGCACCACCGGATCTTTGGCTTGACCAGCAGCATCTGCAATGAATCATACTTCCATTCGGGAACGGCGCCTCGTCATATCTCGGCTAAGTTGGGTCCAGAACCTGTAAAAATGCAGTGTATAGACTCAAGGTATCGCACCCCAGAGATGAACTCTCGAGTCCGTGGGATGTTACTACCTCCCACCTGGTATGTTTTAGGACGCGATCACTGAACCATTGCTTGGGCGCATCTATTGTGATCCCCTTCCACGGCCGATCGACCAGGTCGGCGCCTACGCCTTGTATTAAAGGCCTTTTCCGGGAGTCTGAGCAATCGTCCGCCCCCTTTCGGCCATGTCGGACGTGACACTGCTAACAGCAAATCTCGCAATCGTGGTGTTGGAAAGTCTTCTCTATGGGATATATGCTATTTTGGTCTCCTGCGCTTTATATTTTATGGTGTCGCGTCACCGTGAACGGCTAAGCGGGTCAGCGTGGTTCTCTCGCTCAAACCTGCTTTCCCCTGTCGCGCTCGGAGCTCTTGCCCTGTTTATAACGGTCACCACCGTGCGTATCTGCGGATTATATCTCACGCTTTATGTTCAACAACGCTGGTCGTAGCACTGGCTTCTCAATGTTGCGCGCGTCTTCATCGCTTTCCACCGCTGGGAAGATGGGCCGGGGCCACGAATATTCTATTCCGACTTCTCTCATATCACTGAGGTCCTCAAATACGGATTTCTTGTGGCAGTTCTCTTGATCGGGGATTCGCTTCTTGTGCGTGTCCGGAACTCAGTGGTGTCGGCCCCTTTTCAAATGATCGTAGATTCATCGGCTCTGGGTGGTTTCTGGGTTTCGTCCTGGAATCATCGTGTTCCCGACTATCACGCTGATGGGCTTACTGAGTACGTCATTTGCGAATTTTTCGGGTGTGAAATCTACTTAACGGGACTCCCATCATAGCGTTTGGCATCGGCCACACATATCAGCTTTCCACATATACCTCCAACGATAGCATGTTCCAGGCCGCATACCGACGTTGGGCGACAGGAGTTTGCATCTGCTGCTTGTGGTAAGCACCGTCCATTTTTCGACTTTTCCGTTTATTCCACCACGCGTAACAGTACTACTGCGTACACAACGGGTAGGTTGTGCCTTCTCGCGCCTCTCAGATCAACTCACTCTCATTTAGGATGTATATGGTATAAATTGTGGAGTGTCAGCCGGGCACTGGAATCGTTTGGAGTCACAAGCCTGACCGTGCGTCTCCTTGCACATCATCCATCCAACATTCTCACCCCCAACTTGGAAACAGACCATTGTCAGAATCTTCACAGATAGTGCTGCATTATTTGCGTTAGTGCCTCTCATTCGGGATCTACGGCGATAATCGAACCTGAGCGATTCCCCGTTCAGGACATTCAGTCTTTTCCACCTCGTGAGCTACGAGTGCGGGTCCAACGTCCAGTTCATCGTAGTCGACTGCATGCCTGTTGTGGTGGGGATATCACACCTCCTTGTCCAGATCCGTCTTCACTGGGACCTCACCCAGACGCGCGCACCCTCGCCGTCCCTTGTCACGTCCCGATTCAGATTCTCCGTCGGTATCGATGCAGGAGACAGCCAGGTTGATTCGGATCCTGAAGAAGGAATGAAGACACTCTATCTGCATGCATGATTGATTGTCCAAAATTCACCTCTCCTTCCTCCCCGTGTATTACGCCTGGATATTCTGAAGATGGATCTGTAGCATATACATTGGTATAATGGATCTGATTGTGATGGAGGGGTTTTTAGCTTTACTACAAATATCAAAGCTGCGTGGACGGTTACGGGCCGTCACAAACACGGCGGTCATTCTGAATTTTTTAGGGTTCAACGGGTAAAGGACGCAAAAAAGACGGCCGTTACCCAAAAAATAACGGGACGGTAAACCTGCAAGATCCTAGGCTGAAAAATTGCAGATACTCAACTCGAAGCATCTTGTGTGAATAATGACCACGAGGGTCCTCATACATTTATATTACATTTCAATGATTATCTTTAACATGTTCGAGAAGACAGTTCAACAATTCCTGGGACCGACTTAGGTTCCAGGTCTCTGGAAAAAAATTAAACAAATGATTGACCTTATATGGACGGGCACCTGACTCCGGCATAAGCCATCCCCCTACCCTCTCCAAAACATTAAAAGTTGTTTCTCGATCATGGATTACCAATCCGGTCAATGCCGAGTCCTTCCGCCCTCTCAGAATTAAAGGTGTTTCTCAATCGTGGATTATCAATCCGGTGATTGCCGAGTCCTCCGCCCTCACCAGAACGTTAAAAATCATTTCTCAATCATGGATTACCAATTGCGGTCCCCCTGCGATGGGATATATACAATGTTATACGACTTAGGGAAACACGGTCCCAGGTTTGTGCGGACCGTTTGAATACCTACTCAAAACATTTCTCAGATATTGATCTTGGAAAACCCTCTAAGGATTGGCTTTGCAATGTTGTCCCAATGCGAGTCCGGGCCAACATTCCCCAAACATTTGATCCAAAACATTTCTAGAACATTGATTTCAGACAGGGGTATAGACAGGTACACACACGGTTAGTATTGGGACAGGGAGGTATGATGTTTGCGAGGTCAGAAAAAGAGAATGAAAAAACAAAAACGCGACGCGCAAAAAACTTCCGGAGCGGGGAATCGAACCCCGGGCTAGTGCGACTTCAGATGATGGGAATTTAATTTTTTTTCTGGAGCCATAAAATATTCAAAAATATATGGATGCATCCAGAACATGCAAAGGGACATTTGAGCAGCAGGGACCCAGTTGATTGGATGTCATTCTAGACCTACAGCCAAAGATTTTTGAAAACGTGCCAACTTTGGATCAACACCACAACTGAATAGTAACATTCAAGTCTGACAGTCAGTAAAAAGCATAGGCAAATACCCATAGATATGTTCTTGGGTTCCCAGTTTACACCTAAGGATTTGAGCTAAGATTGGAGTAGCAGGAAAGGAGTTGGCAACCCCTCTGTTTGATGCAGTCTGAAGCAAGCCCCTTCAAGAAGGTCCCCGGCGCGCCGTTGTTCCGAACCTACGGGGAATCGAACCCCGGGCTAGTGCGATTACGTAAATTTATGTTCTTTTGTTTTGTGGAACAGGGAGGTATGATTTGGAGGCCAGAGAAAAAAATTGAAAAACGCGACGCGCAAAAATTCCGGAGCGGGGAATCGAACCCCGGGCTAGTGCGATTACGTAAATTTATGTTCTTTTGTTTTGTGGAACAGGGAGGTATGATTTGGAGGCCAGAGAAAAAAATTGAAAAACGCGACGCGCAAAAATTCCGGAGCGGGGAATCGAACCCCGGGCTAGTGCGATTACGTAAATTTATTTTCTTTTGAAAAGCACCGATGTTAACCACTACACCACACCGGAGTTGTTGGGTGGCAGAGTCGAGTGGTGTTGTCGGTACAGGCTGGACAGGGTTTGGTACAGCTGCTCGTTGGACCGTCGCCGCTGCGCAGAAATTCCCTGGGCATCAACGCTTGCGGTGCCAGCCACCGTTCCGCGGTACATGGTTAGGCCGGTTGCCGCTGCGCAGAAGTTCCGTGCTCTTGTGGTGCTCTGGGACAAGGTTGGGTACAGCCGAAAAGACAGATCCATATTTTTTTAGTCTGTTTCTTGTCGGTGCTTGATAACATATCACTGCCCGACAGACCGGACGATAACGATCTACAATACAGTTTGAAGTCGCCGTTGAGAGGCTGTACAGCCAAGAAAGTCAGGATAGGATCATCCGATCACACGGATTCCGCATTTTTACACTCCCCACTCAGTACGCGTATTCTGCCATCGTTCTGGTTGAACTACCCCACTTCTGTACACATCGCCATCCAACCCATATCCCGATAAACATCCCACTGATTATTTTGCCAGGCTACTGGAACAGCCCAGCTGTGCTCGCTCGCCAACTGCGTGGGTTTCTGATCAGCTATAGCACAGAGGACAGACAATGCCAACGGCCAGAAATTGATGAAACCCAGTTGTTCTTCATGTATTTTTCTAAATAATCGTTGGCTACCTTTTAAGTCAGCATCCATGCCGGAGCGAAGTGAAGGCATGTCTTGTACATGCTCAATAGGTGGTACCAATGCATGGGACTGCAAGATCCACAATCAACGGTGCCAACCGGCTGCGTGGCATTCACTTACAGACGTGTCATTGTTGGTGCACCGGCTCTGTCATTGGACAATGCGGCGGCTGAGGGACATCGCAACTGAATACTGTCTACGGTTGTCGAACCGTCGGTCCACACTAATGACCATCGTCACAGAACACTTGTGCCAACCTTCCTGTCTGGGATATACCCAGGTATTCATGTTTCGCAGGCTGGAACGACCACGCACTGCGACCTATCCCCCTCGGGGGCGTCACAAACCTTCCTTACCATGGTTTTTGATAACGAAGTCTGCGATGTCGCAGCGACAATGCCCGCGATACCCTATCCACTTATACCTTGAACCGGTGGTTCAAGTTTGCTGCAGTCGGGGAAGTGACAATGCGGGCGGCCTATGGGTCCTCTCCCGTTCATGTGATTTGCATTTGTTCCAACCTCAGTGCTTTCAGCGTAATGTTTTTGCATCTGTCATTGGAGCAGTTGACTGCCGTCGCTTTTGCCCATCACATTTACCGTGTCCTCAACAAACCCGCCCTGCGGCACGCGACAATTCGACACGTTGTTCTGGACACTGTGAGGGCCAACAATTGGTTTTCACGCATCTCCTTCGTCCAAGATCCGGGCCTTTTTTCGCACATGCAGGTTTTTTTTGATTCGTCCGAAGTCATTCTTTGACCCTGTTGAAGTTGTGAGTTAACATGTCTTGTGTTGTCCTCTGTCATGAACTCACTCCATTCACTTTCCCTTTGTCTTCTTTAGAGCCGATTGGGGGAAGCGGAGATGATGGGAACAGGAGGCCAGAATGATCTGTCGATGGTCGTCGTGCCATTCTGGAGCACATCTGAAGCGCCTCGAAGGGCCTCCAGAGGCGCTTCAGCGCTTCAAAGGTGCTTCAACTTGAAGATTTCGACGGTTTTCCCACGTTTTAATAATTCTTGAAGCACTTTCGAAGCACCTACCTGAACTGCATGTGAAGCATCTACTCTGACTGTCCCTAATATCATCGGGCGTCCCGTTACGAACCTTTGAGAATTCCGAAATGAGGGATGTTACACACCATTGCCCCCGAAGTCATGCCGACGGAAAAGGTTCTCAGCGGACAACTACTGGATGAAGCGGCAGAAGCGGTGGACGTCAAGGTTGAGAAGGTTCTGAAAGGTCAGAGAATTGGGATTTCGTATGTCTTCTTCTCGTGTTTTATATACAGTTGTTCACATGTCAGCCTAGGACTGATGGATGAAAGTCAAATTGCAAAGAAAGTGTTAATACTCTTTGCGCAAACGTGGATCTCAAAGTACGTGTGCAAATTTCTGCTGCAAATATGCGGCTCAAACAAGTCCTATTTGCTCGAGCTGATGGATCATTGCCCTCAACAACGATGGTCCATCGTTGTGCAAACAAATTGCTGAGATGATCGACTGGGTTGAAATGAGATGCGGCTGCATCGTAATATACTTCACAACGGATTCAGACGGTGGGAGTAAGAAGGGTCACATTCTCCTTGGTAAAAAGCGACCAAATTATGCGCTACGCGCGACACGTCTGCTTTGATACCTTTCTGAATAATATCTCTCGTACCAGACGCTACCTTGCACTACATAGTACTGGGTCTCGTCGCAGTATTTCTTCCAACATATGCAAGGCAGCCGCCAAAGTCCATCGAATCGGCTTGGTTGGCTGGAAGAAGAGATCGAAACCGTCAGGGGGTGGGATGAAAGCAAGAGCACACTATGTGAGGGATCGTGTTGACTTGTTGAACGGGGTGAGGCACTTGCTCGAGTAGGTTCTTACCGTCATCGAAGAGGGTACACTCAAATAATGGCCCAGTTATCCGGAATACATAATCAACGAGTAGACCGTACTCGAAGGTTTGTACAATGAAAGAAAGAAAAATTCCGTCATATTAGAAATTCCAGACTACTCGTGGTGAGATAAGGGTGCTTCAATGTGTACAGTGATATTCAAATCTCTAGTGCCCTCTGCCTCTACACCAGAGTCAAGATGAACGTCATTATTCCCATTTTTGCTCTGTCCCGCGAACTGTATGGTGCTGACAGTGTCGGTCTCCCAGATGGTTTGCTTGAAATTGACGATAGCAATAATGAGGGTGGGGTGCATGCCCAACATCTGGTTGCCTATGCCATTGAAGAGCCAAAAGATGTAGATTTCCGCGTTAGTGCGCGAGGCGGGCCCAAATTTCACGTCGTTATAAACCTGGGTGAGCTACATGACCCAGTCATGAATATGTGGGTGGACGGAACAGAGGATAATGCCAACTTGCCCACAACAGACAATAGATGAGCCCAGATTCAACTAGGATAGAAAGCACTTTGTCTGCAGACATCCTCTGCGAGTGTCTAACGATGCCGAGAGCTTTCATAGTCCGACGGTGTTGCCTTCCATTGGTAATATTGTTAATGAAAATCGTTGTTGTGTGGAGTTCGTCACCCACCAGGCCCGATACCCGATCAATATTGTGCACGTTACATTGGTGGCCAAGGAGAACGCCCACGGCAAGTTAGATACTACGCAGACTCGGCTGCCGCCGGAAAGGTCTGGCAGCTGGTGAATGGTAAATGCAAACCTGCACAAAATCTGCACGACGCCTACACCTGAAAGAAAGAATATGACATGCAAGGTGCGTGGCAATTGAGATTGACTCACTGAACGTTAGGACAAGCATGACGCAGGGGATAGAGACTATCCAGAGTGCTCGTGGGTAGAGGACCCATGCGCGCCAAAGGACAACACTGTCTGCGATCATCACCTAAGATCACGAGAATATTGAAAAGAGAAAGACATGGAGTTCAGACTAGTAACACGCACGTTGAACAGGTGGAGTGCGGTCTGCTGGGTGTCGAGATCATGGTGGTTACCATTGACTAGACCCTTCCTGTCCGGGAGTGGAATAGTTGAGTTGCTCATGAACGCTATATGCGTATCTTGGACCCATATGGTCACATCCAACGCCCAAAGTGTGAGGGAGCTCGCATATAGGGACACAATGGCGCAAAGCATAGCGATGGAACCGCGAGACTTGAGGCCTTTCCAGCTGCAAATGCCATCAGGTACATTTCGGCATTGGTGAAGGCGGCAGATTACAAGATGGAGTATATCGCAACCGCGAAAAAGACCCCGTAGGCGGCTGTGAAACGAATAAACAGCAGTGCGTTTAAAAGCTGTATAGCTTACTAATCAACACTGTCTCCCAAATGACGCCAAAAGCATCCTGCAGCGTGTTGCGCCCATAGAGATAAAGAGCCTGTGCGTCCGCGTCCGACAGAGGTGCAAAAGAAGATGAGCCCGAGCCGGTCGACATGGTTACAAACCTTGTAGTCCAAGTGCGCGGGAGATGGAGTGCGTGGGGAAAAGCTCTGAGTGTCGGCTTGATCATTATTTTATAGGCTGTCTTGCACTGCATGCTAAGATGGGCGTCAGTCTTTGAAATGATGGTACATGCCCATGATGCACGGGAGATGGATTGCGCGGGGAAAGGCTCCGAGTGTCGGCTTGATCATTATTTTATGGGCTGCAATGCATGCTAAGATGGGTGTCAGTCTTTGAAATGATGCACGATGGTTCCGATTGATGATAGGGATCTCGAAATAATGCGGGAAGCCTTGCCAGACCTGAATATGGATCAGTCCCTCAACCCCGTTCGCGAAACCGCCAAGCGCGAAAATAAGACCAAAGAAAGAATCGGATGGCTCTGGCTTTTGCGGGTTCTGGCAACCTTGTAATAGAACGAGATGTAGGGGAGAAAGCACACTTTAATTCGAAGTAATTACAGGGTTTATACACTACAGAAACAAATGTAACTGCATGGGGAGTAAGGACGAACTGAGAGCATAGTACAAGGACAGAGGTAGTAAGAATGAACAGGAATGAGTCCAGCTAATATAAGGTCAGTACGTCGGTGAGCAATGGGCCCGACGCCGAGACATCGTGAATGGGCCGGTCAGTTCGGGCTTACCGGCTCGAATCCAACACTTTGTCCCGCGGAGCAGTGGTTGGCACCGGCAATCAGCGCGGGTCTAGCTGGCTTACTTTCAACGGAATTCGCGGTGAGGAGTTTCGTTCAGTTCCAAAGGTGAGACTCTGGTCTTTCACTTCTGGCTAAATACAATGGCAGAGGAGGGCCTGGGGGGCGGGTGACGGGCCGGCAGCGGAATGGGCCTGGGCGCTGTCAGTGTAGTCGGATTCCGGGAGCGGGGGCGACGGGACGATCATCAGGCTTTGGGCCCACGCCCATTCTTTT